CATAAAATCGGACGAAAATATATATAAGACCTATATCTAAATCTGAACCGATTCCAACAAACCTTATCACACATCATTCTTACCGCAATTGCATTCGCTATGCAAAATGCTGTCTCAATCGGATAAATATTGGGAGTTTGGTGTATCATTCACAAAAAATTGGACGAAACTATATGTGGGAGGTATATCTAAATCTGAACCGTTTTTAACAAAACTTCGCAGACATCAGTCTGGACCTAATTCAATACTCTGTGCAAAATTTTGTCCCAATCGGACAAATATTGGGAGTTTGGTGTATCATTCACAAAAAATTGGAAGAAACTATATATGGGAGCTATATCTAAATCTGAACCGATTTTAACAAAACTTCGCAGACATCACTGTGGACCTAATTCAATACTCTGTGCAAAACTTTGCCCCAATCGGACAAGTATTAGGAGTTTGGTGCATCATTCACATAAAATCGGACGAAACTATATATGGGAGCTATATCTAAATCTGAACCGATTTGAACAAAACTTCGAAAACATCAGTCTACACCTAATTCAATACTCTGTGCAAAATTTTGTCCCAATCGGACAAATATTGGGAGTTTGGTGTATCATTCAAAAAAAAATTGGAAGAAACTATATATGGGAGCTATATCTAAATCTGAACCGATTTTAACAAAACTTCTCAGACATCAGTCTGGACCTAATTCAATACTCCGTGCAAAATTTTGTGTCAAACGGACAAATATTGGGAGTTTGGTGCATTATTCACCTAAAATCGGACGAACTATTAATGGCAGCTATATCTAAATCTGAACCGATTTTCTCCAATTTCAATAGGGTTTGTCCTTGGGCCAAATAAGTGAACTGTGTCAAATTTTATCCAAATCGGATCACAAATGCGACCTGTACTTTTTCACAAAAATATAGGACGAACATGCGTAAATCGACTCAGAAAGTGATTCTATGCATATTATCAAAAGGGTCTAACTCGATTCCTTACGCCTGCTACAAACATATGCACAAATACATAATACCCTGTACCACAGTGTGGTGAAGGGTATAAATATAAAAACTTCGGACCACCCGAAGTTAAGGACATTTCTACTCAATAGAAATTATTATGGTTCTAGAAAAAAATCGTTTCCATAGATTTCGATTTTTAAAATAATAAGGTCTCCCATACGTGAGAATTTTTTAAACAATGTTTTTCTAAGGGATTTTTTTTTAAATAATCAGACATTATTTATGTAGACTACTAAATGGACCCGTAGAACATGTTAGAGGATTTTTTTCCAATTTTTTTTGTCCAAATCGTTAAGGGATTAAGGATATAGATTATTTTGGAATTTTTTGAAGAGACTATATAAACAGTTTTTTTTTTCTTTAGAGGAATTGACATGTTTCTCTTATTTTTAAATTAAATTTTATTAGAAATATTTTTGATCTTATTTTTTTTAATATATATTTTCAAAAAAAAATCTTCTAAAAATTTACTTTCAAATTTAAATAAAGTATCATTTTTTAACAAACTATATTATTACCAATTTTCCATGAATGTGTATGACATTTGTTTAATATACTATGAGTGATTATTTAAATATTTTTCCAGTCAACTTTTGTTTGTACTATTATTATTTTTGAACTAGCTTTCTCAGTTGTTTTGCCATAAAAATTTAATTTTTCACTTTTCCACGAATTGCAGAAGTATTTTTTTCTACTTCAGGTAAATTTTACTTTCTGCACACAAACACACATTGTCAGCATCAGAATCTGTAGACTAATACACTGCATCCGATTCACTGCACTATCACTAAAATCGCAGGCAATAATACCCAATTGCACATTTACATGTACACACGAACACAAAATACACTCTCGTTTGGGTTCATAGAAAAAGAAAAACAATCAACTGTAACTATATTTAAACAAAGTCAATGTCAAGGTGAGCTGTAACAAGCAACTACAGCTAACTGCAGACCTCTTCAACCTACGGAGAACAACAACACAAAACACAATGTGTATGTGTGTCTGGCTGTTGTATTGTCTCTCCCAGTGAAGCACGTAATGAGGCCAACAAAAAGTACATCCACTCACATTGACAGCACGGCTGATAAAATAGCCCATTGACAGGCGAGCCGTTATTTTAGCCCACTGACATTGCAACACCTTTAGAATTCACTCACGTATTATTAAAACGATAAGCATAGACACGAACACACACACACATTGAAACGTACACGATTTCGTCAGTAACTAACCGAAGTGTTCATTTAGCCAGATTCTACTCTTCACTGTCTGACAATTCAACGATAATCGTTGAAGATTTGAATAACAACAACAATGAAATAGAAATGTGCCCACGTTTGGTCTGATGCTGCCACTGCCGCCTATTGCCGTTGTAACTTTGCGTGCCACAGGACAAATGACAACCAAATGCTTTGGAAATACTTTACGAACTGAAATATGCGTTCAGACATCAGCAATACGTCACAGGGCACAAACATCGTGGTTCCGTTTTGTTGCTGCTTTCTGAAGAGTTATAGGTGTGTGTGTGTGTGTGTGCGTGTTTGTGTCAAACTGTGTACGTGAGTAGGCATGGGTGTGCGTGCTTTGATTGCTGTGGGGCAAAAAAAGGCGCCAAAATGTCTACTTCTGCCAATGGGGCTATGTTTCACAACCACTATGCTGTACTTCGTCTACACACACACTCACACACAAGAAAGTGTAAAAGCGAAAGTTAAACAAACACATTCAACAAGTTTTTGTACGACTTCAAGGCCAACATAATTGGATGAGAGAAAGAGAAATGTTATTCAACCAGAGACAGAGAGAGGAAGTGAGAGAGAATGTTGATGAAATAAAATAAACAACATGTTGCAAATCAATTGGGCATAGACATTCTTCAATATTTTTTTCAATGACAGAAATAGAATTTTTTATCATTTAAAAAAAAAATATAATAAATAATTTCAAATCGATGGTACGATACGCAGTACAAATGACGTATTTGGTATCTGTTTTAGGGTCGTACCTTTGGATATCGACTCGATCTCCACGGCCTGTAGTGATGTCGCGAGACTACTCAGGCAGTTGGCTGTCGAAACAGATGCTGGCACCGATGAGAATCCCATCGTTAAAATGGATGACTCATCAGTACCATTATCTGCTAGATAAGCCGATGCCAAGGAGATCGCCAACAAAATGTATCGGAGGGCAGTAAATTACTGTAAACGATACATCGGGCGGGACAGCGACTCCATCACGGGGAAGGAGTTCCTGTTAATCGAGAGGAACCTCAAACTCATTAGGAAGTTCTCTAGGAACTATCCTGATGACATTGAGAGGGACTTCTGGATTGATAGGATCCCCCGACCTAGTACTAGGACCACAGCGGTAATCCCTTCGATGAAGGAGAAACCTGCTGATGGCCCTGGTACATCCAGGAAACTGATGCCTGAGACGTCTAAGCCCTCAGCACCCCCAAAGGGTAAACTGAATACTGAGACGTCCCAGACATCAGCATCCACAAAGACAGAAGGCAGGGGACTGTCGAAGTCGGCCCGAAGGACAGCCCATAAAAAGGCCTCCAAGAAGACCGATAAGGCACAACCGCCCTCTGTCAGTCCACCTTCTGCCGAATTGCCAAAGCCGACAGCCAAGGCGGTGACAATTGGACAGTCGCCAGTGGATGAGCAGAAGATAGCGAACGCAAAGCAGGTGCCTGCGTCTGCTGGGCATACCTCTGCAGTGGTTGCTACCCCGGGTCCCAAATCTCGGCCACAGCCCGCGGCTGTCAAGAGAGGAGGAGAGGAGCAACAACTTGCTGCAAAGATGCCCACGCAGTCGTCGGCCGTACAGAGCTCTGCTTCGTTTGCGTCGGTGGTAGCGTCGAAGGAGAAACCTGCCAAGAGCAGCGATTGTGTGGTGAAAACCAAACACGCTGTTTTGAAGCAGGTAGCCTAGACACCTACGACGGCGCAATGCGACTCTGCTGATTCGAAAGAGGTTCCAGAAGATCTGCGGGTAGCGATCGTCGACCGAGCTGACCCCGACGGGTTTATCAGTGAGGATAGATGGGAGCTGGTCGATCTGAAGGATCTTTTCCTATCCGACGAGATTGATCGAGAGAGCCTGCGGTTTGGCCTGACCTCCTCATACAAAGGGGTAAAGGTTGTTGATTGTCGCACTAAGGAGACTTCAGATTTCCTTAAGAAGACAAACAACAGCCTGAACCCCCTTTGGGAGGGTAGTCGTAGTCGGCAGCTGTAGCGGTCCGAGAGATACCGAGCGGTATGGTAACCTCGGTGCTTATCCCAAAACCTTTCAAGGGGCTGGAGAAGACACTGAGGTTATTGGAGAAGCAGAACGACGGCCTTCAGATGAGGAGGTGGAGAATCCTCGCCTCATTTGAAAGGAACGGCGGTGTAGTCGCGAAGTTCGCTACCGATTCTGCGGGAGAAGAATATTTGAGGAAGAACAAGGGTGAGCGTGTTTATGGAATGGGGAAACTTTGTTTCCGCCTACCAACTCCAAAACAATAAGCAGACAGCAGCAAGCGCTTAACGTGATCCAGATCAATCTGCATCACCGTAGAGCAACAGCTGCTGAACTGCTATTCACCCTCTCTTCCTCAAACATCGACGTGGCGCTCATTCAGGAACCTTACCTGTACAAAGACAAGGTGACTAAAAAACCCTACGGACGTCTAAAAAACCCCTATAAAGGTACGAAGGTGAGTATTTTTCTACAGAGCGCAATAAATGAGGTACGACCCTTATATAAACAGCATTTTTTCAATATTTTGTTTACTTACCACATAATTTTTTTATTTCTAAAATCACGTTTCTAAACACTGTGTTATTAAATTAAAATGTTTATAATCAATAATAAATGTTTTGCAACAACAAATGTTTATCAACATTTTGTTTGCAAACATCCGAAGGACATTTACGACAGAGTTACAGTAAATCGATTAACAATGTTTAAAAAAAGATGGAACACACTTACCGTTAAGGCAATACCCACTGTGGCCGAAAACGAACCCAAACGAAATTCACCAGTGTTGTATTTAACGAGGAATGATGTTTTTCCCACGCCAGAGTCCCCCAGCAGAATAGTCTAAAAATAAATCAACAAAACACACACACATTTCAACCATCGTCTTTGGAATCTGTAACCATCCACCCACCTTATGATTCACGGTATCATCAAAGGGTGGCTGATGATGTACCGGCTGCTGAAACATGCCCACCTCATCGTAATGATATGAACGCCAGCCATCGTCGTAATCTTCTATTGTATAGCCAGCATCTTCCAGAGCGTACATTTGTAGTGCCTCACGGGGTGGTCGATAGCCCGGATAGCCCGAGGGTGCCTGAGAGCGACAATATTCCGATGAGGCCAATGCCCCATCACCATAGTAGCCGGAACCGCGGCTATAGCTGCTATACTGTTGCTGTTCTTGTTCTTTGCGTCGCCTGGCCTCCTCCACACGTCTCTGTGTCGTCTCCGGATCTTCGAAGACATCATCGCTCATGCTGCTGGCATCATCGGGTATTTGTGACATTTTTGTGAGTTGTCTTTTCCGTCTTCTTCTCTTTGCTTTCTTTTGTTTTTCGATTTGTTGTTTTATTTAAGATTAGTCTCCTTAGTTGCTTGATTGGTGTTCCTTCTTAAGTAAATTTTCTAAAGTTTTTTCTTTTTTTTTCTACTAACTTTAAAAGTTATTTTGTTTAATTGATTGTTTTGGTGTTGTTGGGGTTTCTTTTGTTTTTTTTTATAAATTTAATTACATTATGTTAAGATATGTTTTCTTAAAATATTTTTATTAATTTAATTTTTCCTAATATTTGTTTTTATTTTTTTAAAGTAAATGGTGGGAGTAATTCTTTTTTTGGTTTTTGAATTTCCGTTACGAAATTATTTAATAACAAGAAGAGAGTAGAAGCTTTTATTTTATAGGAAAATTAATTCGAGTAATCTATATTCAGAGCTTTTTTATTTTCTAAAGCTTTGCTTGACTTTTCTTATGTTTTATAGTTTTTGTTGCTAATATTTATTGTATATATGTTGATGATGTCAGCATCCTTTTCCGGTTTTGGTCCTTGTTATATAGTTGTTTTTTATATCATTAAGCTTTCAGCGTTATCAAAAGCTTCCTGCAATAAAATAATAGATAATATTGTTGTGTGCTATAAATAGATTTGCCAACATAATTATGGGAGAAAAAGGACAAAAAGAGAGTAGATTTATAAAGATGATTTTTTAAAGAATATTTTTATGGACATATATAGACATGGATATGTTTTAAGAATATTTGTTCTAGACTAAACTAGGCGAGGATTTTTTAATGAATCTTTCTTGATGAACCTCCCAAGGTAATTTTAAAAGAATATTTTTTCAAGGTCTTACAAAGGCGTGGATTTTTAAAAGAATATTTTTTTCAAGGACTTACAAAGGCGTGGATTTTTAAAATAATATTTTTTCAAAGGCTAACAAAGGCGTGGATTTTTAAAAGAATATTTTTTCAAGGACTTACAAAGGCGTGGATTTTTAAAAGAATATTTTTTCAAAGGCTAACAAAGGCGTGGATTTTTAAAAGAATATTTTTTCAAAGGCTAACAAAGGCGTGGATTTTTAAAATAATATTTTTTCAAGGACTTACAAATGCGTGGATTTTTAAAAGAATATTTTTTCAAGGACTTACAAATGCGTGGATTTTTAAAAGAATATTTTTTCAAGGACTTACAAAGGCGTGGATTTTTAAAAGAATATTTTTTCAAGGACTTACAAAGGCGTGGATTTTTAAAAGAATATTTTTTCAAGGACTTACAAAGGCGTGGATTTTTAAAAGAATATTTTTTCAAGGACTTACAAAGGCGTGGATTTTTAAAAGAATATTTTTTCAAGGACTTACAAAGGCGTGGATTTTTAAAAGAATATTTTTTCAAGGACTTACAAAGGCGTGGATTTTTAAAAGAATATTTTTTCAAGGACTTACAAAGGCGTGGATTTTTAAAAGAATATTTTTTCAAGGACTTACAAAGGCGTGGATTTTTAAAAGAATATTTTTTCAAGGACTTACAAAGGCGTGGATTTTTAAAAGAATATTTTTTCAAGGACTTACAAAGGCGTGGATTTTTAAAAGAATATTTTTTCAAGGACTTACAAAGGCGTGGATTTTTAAAAGAATATTTTTTCAAGGACTTACAAAGGCGTGGATTTTTAAAAGAATATTTTTTCAACGACTTACAAAGGCGTGGATTTTTAAAAGAATATTTTTTCAAGGACTTACAAAGGCGTGGATTTTTAAAAGAATATTTTTTCAAGGACTTACAAAGGCGTGGATTTTTAAAAGAATATTTTTTTCAAGGACTTACAAAGGCGTGGATTTTTAAAAGAATATTTTTTCAAGGACTTACAAAGGCGTGGATTTTTAAAAGAATATTTTTTCAAGGACTTACAAAGGCGTGGATTTTTAAAAGAATATTTTTTCAAGGACTTACAAAGGCGTGGATTTTTAAAAGAATATTTTTTCAAGGACTTACAAAGGCGTGGATTTTTAAAAGAATATTTTTTCAAGGACTTACAAAGGCGTGGATTTTTAAAAGAATATTTTTTCAAGGACTTACAAAGGCGTGGATTTTTAAAAGAATATTTTTTCAAGGACTTACAAAGGCGTGGATTTTTAAAAGAATATTTTTTCAAGGACTTACAAAGGCGTGGATTTTTAAAAGAATATTTTTTCAAGGACTTACAAAGGCGTGGATTTTTAAAAGAATATTTTTTCAAGGACTTACAAAGGCGTGGATTTTTAAAAGAATATTTTTTCAAGGACTTACAAAGGCGTGGATTTTTAAAAGAATATTTTTTCAAGGACTTACAAAGGCGTGGATTTTTAAAAGAATATTTTTTCAAGGACTTACAAAGGCGTGGATTTTTAAAAGAATATTTTTTCAAGGACTTACAAAGGCGTGGATTTTTAAAAGAATATTTTTTCAAGGACTTACAAAGGCGTGGATTTTTAAAAGAATATTTTTTCAAGGACTTACAAAGGCGTGGATTTTTAAAAGAATATTTTTTCAAGGACTTACAAAGGCGTGGATTTTTAAAAGAATATTTTTTCAAGGACTTACAAAGGCGTGGATTTTTAAAAGAATATTTTTTCAAGGACTTACAAAGGCGTGGATTTTTAAAAGAATATTTTTTCAAGGACTTACAAAGGCGTGGATTTTTAAAAGAATATTTTTTCAAGGACTTACAAAGGCGTGGATTTTTAAAAGAATATTTTTTCAAGGACTTACAAAGGCGTGGATTTTTAAAAGAATATTTTTTCAAGGACTTACAAAGGCGTGGATTTTTAAAAGAATATTTTTTCAAGGACTTACAAAGGCGTGGATTTTTAAAAGAATATTTTTTCAAGGACTTACAAAGGCGTGGATTTTTAAAAGAATATTTTTTCAAGGACTTACAAAGGCGTGGATTTTTAAAAGAATATTTTTTCAAGGACTTACAAAGGCGTGGATTTTTAAAAGAATATTTTTTCAAGGACTTACAAAGGCGTGGATTTTTAAAAGAATATTTTTTCAAGGACTTACAAAGGCGTGGATTTTTAAAAGAATATTTTTTCAAGGACTTACAAAGGCGTGGATTTTTAAAAGAATATTTTTTCAAGGACTTACAAAGGCGTGGATTTTTAAAAGAATATTTTTTCAAGGACTTACAAAGGCGTGGATTTTTAAAAGAATATTTTTTCAAGGACTTACAAAGGCGTGGATTTTTAAAAGAATATTTTTTCAAGGACTTACAAAGGCGTGGATTTTTAAAAGAATATTTTTTCAAGGACTTACAAAGGCGTGGATTTTTAAAAGAATATTTTTTCAAGGACTTACAAAGGCGTGGATTTTTAAAAGAATATTTTTTCAAGGACTTACAAAGGCGTGGATTTTTAAAAGAATATTTTTTCAAGGACTTACAAAGGCGTGGATTTTTAAAAGAATATTTTTTCAAGGACTTACAAAGGCGTGGATTTTTAAAAGAATATTTTTTCAAGGACTTACAAAGGCGTGGATTTTTAAAAGAATATTTTTTCAAGGACTTACAAAGGCGTGGATTTTTAAAAGAATATTTTTTCAAGGACTTACAAAGGCGTGGATTTTTAAAAGAATATTTTTTCAAGGACTTACAAAGGCGTGGATTTTTAAAAGAATATTTTTTCAAGGACTTACAAAGGCGTGGATTTTTAAAAGAATATTTTTTCAAGGACTTACAAAGGCGTGGATTTTTAAAAGAATATTTTTTCAAGGACTTACAAAGGCGTGGATTTTTAAAAGAATATTTTTTCAAGGACTTACAAAGGCGTGGATTTTTAAAAGAATATTTTTTCAAGGACTTACAAAGGCGTGGATTTTTAAAAGAATATTTTTTCAAGGACTTACAAAGGCGTGGATTTTTAAAAGAATATTTTTTCAAGGACTTACAAAGGCGTGGATTTTTAAAAGAATATTTTTTCAAGGACTTACAAAGGCGTGGATTTTTAAAAGAATATTTTTTCAAGGACTTACAAAGGCGTGGATTTTTAAAAGAATATTTTTTCAAGGACTTACAAAGGCGTGGATTTTTAAAAGAATATTTTTTCAAGGACTTACAAAGGCGTGGATTTTTAAAAGAATATTTTTTCAAGGACTTACAAAGGCGTGGATTTTTAAAAGAATATTTTTTCAAGGACTTACAAAGGCGTGGATTTTTAAAAGAATATTTTTTCAAGGACTTACAAAGGCGTGGATTTTTAAAAGAATATTTTTTCAAGGACTTACAAAGGCGTGGATTTTTAAAAGAATATTTTTTCAAGGACTTACAAAGGCGTGGATTTTTAAAAGAATATTTTTTCAAGGACTTACAAAGGCGTGGATTTTTAAAAGAATATTTTTTCAAGGACTTACAAAGGCGTGGATTTTTAAAAGAATATTTTTTCAAGGACTTACAAAGGCGTGGATTTTTAAAAGAATATTTTTTCAAGGACTTACAAAGGCGTGGATTTTTAAAAGAATATTTTTTCAAGGACTTACAAAGGCGTGGATTTTTAAAAGAATATTTTTTCAAGGACTTACAAAGGCGTGGATTTTTAAAAGAATATTTTTTCAAGGACTTACAAAGGCGTGGATTTTTAAAAGAATATTTTTTCAAGGACTTACAAAGGCGTGGATTTTTAAAAGAATATTTTTTCAAGGACTTACAAAGGCGTGGATTTTTAAAAGAATATTTTTTCAAGGACTTACAAAGGCGTGGATTTTTAAAAGAATATTTTTTCAAGGACTTACAAAGGCGTGGATTTTTAAAAGAATATTTTTTCAAGGACTTACAAAGGCGTGGATTTTTAAAAGAATATTTTTTCAAGGACTTACAAAGGCGTGGATTTTTAAAAGAATATTTTTTCAAGGACTTACAAAGGCGTGGATTTTTAAAAGAATATTTTTTCAAGGACTTACAAAGGCGTGGATTTTTAAAAGAATATTTTTTCAAGGACTTACAAAGGCGTGGATTTTTAAAAGAATATTTTTTCAAGGA